ATAAATCAATAATCTGATTTCTTATATATATAGCATTTTAATGATAATGTATAAGGGTGTTACGGGAGCTGCCTCTAGGGTCACGTGGAAGTGTCTAGAGATCTCTCGAGGTGGTTTAGACTAGACTTCAAGTAGGAATTCAATAAGGTTGTAACTGGTTGCAATTCTCGTAACTATAGTAATGAAACTAATGATTGTTCTTGAGCACGAAGCTCTACATGTAAGGAAACCCTTTCCCTTATATAGACCTTTGCACTCTGCGATCCCATCGATCCCACTCACTGAGAGTAGTGGGCGTAGTGGGATCCCACTGATCCCATTGATAATAATCGGTGGGACTGATGGGATGGTCCATCACGTGATACTAGTCCCGTGAGTCTTGTCGTCCTGTCTTATTTCCTGTCCTAGGGCTAATCCCTTGGGAGCTTACTAATCCTAGCAAGACCTCTCTTGCTTACTGTGTCCTGTATTGCTTATTCTTCTTAGGACCCTACTGTCCTAGGAACCATGTCCTATGATTCAGTGTATTCTATAACTAATACTATATACATGCCTGAGGCTTTCCTTGGGTGCCTAGTGTCCCCCGGTATACTGCAGCTGAATCACTGAGGCCTATAATACCATTATAGCCTATAAGTCAGTGATTCTACAGCCTGTTACTAATCCGTTGTAACACTTTTAGTCATAACAACCAGTCATATAGCACTTATCGGAATTATATATATACACGATCGGCTGAGATTAGATTTATATAATAAAAATTGTTTTTCGTTTTAATATAGATAAAAATCCTATAATCAATCAAAAAGGAAATTTGGAAATCATTATTTCCTAATATCTTATAATGTAACTTATAATAAACCAAATCATATGGGAAACTGAATTATAAAATTCAATTCTCTTTATATAATCTTATTCTATAAGCTACATATTTATTCAATTCCAACTCTAAATTACTTAAACTATTCTCTAGCTCTTCTTCTTCAATCTCTTTTTCTAATTCTTCAATTGAATGTTTACATAATTGTCCTTATGGCTTTTTCTTCTTAGGTTTTTTCTTTATTTTATATATCATTTTCAATACTTCCTTATTATTAAAAACAAATTGACCTTATAATTTAATTCTTTTATCTTTAATTCTCTTCTTTTAAGTCTTAATTACCTTTTAAATATTAACAAACTGTTTTCAAAGTAGGACTATCTCAGTATTTTGAGATTCTACAAGCTTAATTATTCTTTTAGTATATCAACAAGTTAATGATACAAAAGAATTATTATTTATTAAAACTTTATTAAAGATTTGATTTACTTGTCTTAATTTTGTTTCATTTAGAGAAGAGCTTCTAAATATAGATAAATTTAAATCTTGATTAAAGATTCTCATTTATAAAGTGGAAAATTGTTGAAAGAAATTAAATGATAATAAATCGAGTACTTTTTATGGGGTAAAAGGTACTAAACCAGCTTCTCTTCAGTTAGTTTTAATATTAAAAGAATTCAATACTTTTTTTCTAATATTTTGAAAGAGTTCTATTTATTCAGCTTTTTAAATTCGCTTTATATTAGTTCGAAAATATCGATCGACCTTTAAAGCATGATATTGTTTTATTAGCCTATATACTACAATATTAAATGGTTAAAGTAAATAGGAGCAATGAGGAGGTAATATAAGTAAATCGATATCCTTCTTTATATAGAAAGTAATAAAGCTGTCTGTAATATGACTTAAATGGCCATTCATAATTAAAAGTCGAGGTTGATCATTTAATACTTTTTTGAATTCTAATTTAAAAACCCTTTTTAGTTATTCTAATTCATGATTATTTAAGATTTATTTATTTGTATTAGTAAAGAACTACTAGTTTTGAGATGTGTTCTTTAGAATTTATATAGAATTTATATTTTGAGCTTTGAAAATGACCATAAATAATAAAGCCTTTCCAATTATATTAATATATTCAAATATAATTATCCATTTTTACTTATCAACTATAATTTTCTAATTCGATTTTTAAATAAAATCAATTATAATATACATATTTTAAGTATTTTCAACTTCAAATCCGATTTCGTCCATATTATATATATCATCTAATTTATACTTTTGTTTAATAAAATATATACAAAATATATCAAACCAAATCTGAATATTCTTTAATATTATTTCTTTAATCCAATTAAACTTTAATTAATATGAATAGCATATTTTAAGTTCTGAATATCGTTTTTGAAATTTATAGATTTATTCATAACTTATAAATAAAATTTCTGTTAAAATAGGAATTCGAGATAATATGATCTAAACACATTAAAGATGAATTTCATTAACCATTTTCTTTATTAATATAAATATAATAGGGAATTTAGTAATAATAAGTTATAAAATCCATTGTATAAGAATATTTTCTTTTACATTTAAAAGAATTTGAGCCATTTTATAGGATTGAATATGTGATTTCCTTCTAGCAATTCTAGTTATAAGAATTGACTTAGGAACTTTAAAATACTCTACAGTCTTTCTAATTAATTTAAATTTCTTCAATTAAAATGTAATAATAGCATTTTGTATTTTCTTTTCAATTTGAGAAGGCATAAGAGGTAATTTGGTATGTATAGCAAACTTTATTGGGGTTTGAAGTCAATAATGAGCTAAATGTGACCCGGTTCCCCATATGACCCGGTTCACCATAAGTTACGTTAATGATTAATTAATTTCTTGAAAAATATCTAGATAGATATATTATTATAATATAATACCTTTAAATTAATAGGTATTTTTTTTCTAAATATTAATTAAAAAATAGATACCTATATTTCTATAGATAACCTTTTCTTCAGGTATATTGATATTGAGAAATATATAAATAGAAATATATTAATCTTAAATAGGAAAAAGCTAGTAAAAATCTTATAATAATTAAGATAGTAGTGTTCTTAGTTGCTACTATCCCACCTAATATATTCCTGGAAGCTACTTAGTTTTCGATGCCTACTCGCACTTGAGGCTTACTTGTACTTCAGGCCTACTTGCACTTGAGGCCTACTTGGCATTCCTGGCCTGACCAGAGAAAAGCAATCATTTTTGCGAATTCTGATTAAGAAGATTAAAATAACCATCACTTCCTTTACTTCCAATCCATCACCTTATATAGTATTTCCAGACTTGAGTTGTAATCTTCAGGTATTAAATTATCTAATGATATTTTGTTACTAATGACTTTAACTTTATTCATATGTCGTTTAGATATTATTGAGAGCCTTAACCTTTTATTCACTTGAAATTTGTTTCTTTTATTTGAAAAATGCCAATGTCTTTTCTATAACACATCATACAGGAATCCAATCTGTTCCAATTCTTATCCAGGTTAGTTACTATGGGCTAGATTTCGCTAATCACACGAGTTCCTTCCGCAAGTAATTCTAGATTTGCTCCCGCAAATCAGCGCCAACTAGCGCACTGGCTCACCGGAATTCTACTCCGATGCGCTTCATTCGAGCCCTGTACAGCTAACTCTCAGTTGCTCTCGCTGCTTCATTTCGACATTAAGCACCTTCTACTTCAAGCAAACTGACCGTTTGCCCTGCCTCTTGAGCGAGTATATGTCCGAATAGTCGCAGTGCTTAAGAGCACCCAGAATACACGGGTCCCAGTTCGTAAGCTCGTATCGCAGTCGAATCAAGCCTTGTCAAGCTTTTAGTGGTTGTTGAATACAGTTGGTTGTTGAATATAGTTGGTTTGAATAAGATATAAATAATATAGCTCTTCTTATAATTCTTGCTTATTTGTATATAATCAAGATGATGGAAATAACATTTAATGTTGTAAATATCAAATTGTCTGAGTTATAAGCTAAAGTAGCGAAGTTCATTTCTGAGAAGATAAATATACTTGATATATTAATCGTAATAGAATTTGATAAATTAATAAGAATATCATTTTATATTATTATGAATTTGAAGGAATAGATATGATTCAGAGTATACTCTTATATAGGATACTTATTATAGTAGATAAGCTCGAAGCTCTAAAAATAAGAAAGGAACGATGTAATATAATGATTATTATATTACTATATAAAGTTACATCTTTTAAAGCTTATTAAATAATATAAGTTTTTTATTAAAAATATTATCTCAAAGTTTTTCTTTCAAAAAATATGAAAAATAGATTATAAATATATTGAAACTTTCATTTCAAATATAGAAGCTATTAATAATGATTACAACTATAATACAATAATTTATATATACAATTAACTTCATTGGGATAGTATCTTAACTTATATTATAATACAATTCTCTGTAATTTATACTAAATCGATTTATAGATCTTTTATAAAGCTATTAATAAAGGTTATATAATAATAAAGTATATCCATAACACTTTTAGTAAACAAAAATAGAAGTTCGATGAGAATACTATTACTCTTGAAAAGAGGTTTAGACTATATATAGATCTAGAATGGTTTACTAAGCGATACCCTTATTGGGAGAAGGCTTGCAAAGATGATGTATTACTTGAAATACTTGAGGATATTCGGTTATTTTTTCAAATAATACTATACGATATTATTATAGGGTTGATTTGTTTATTGTTAGAGTATGATTTCATTAAGTATATCTATCAATTATACCAAAAAGGGATTTGGATAGAAGAAAAGGAAGTTTGTTATTATATTATCAGAAGGAAAGATAATATTGAGAGAATGATTCCAGATATCAATCTAGAGTTGCTTTCAAGCATCACTGATTACTTCAAGATGGACTGCCCCCATTCCTTTTAGCTCCCTGCCATATTTTGTATTTAGTGCTCCGCATGAAAATCTCGGCTCAAAGAAGTTGATTAACAATACGCTCCGCCCAGATGACCGATCTTTGTCCTTAACAGAATACCGTGATCTCTCTGTTCGCATCGCGGTAGGTTTGAGACGACGAGGGGTCCAACCTAAGGATATAATTTTATGTCTTTCAGGTAATGCAATAGCGTACCCAGCCCTTTAATGGGCACCATTTTGGCGGGCTGTATTTTTGTGCCTGGACAGCCTAGTTACGGGCATTCAGAATTGGAAAGGCTGCTCACAGTTGCAAAGCCCTCGGTAATCTTGACTCAACGGGCGCATCTAGATGTCCTTTTGGAGGCTGAAGGTAAAGTTTCATGCCCAGCCTTGGAGCGGAAATCCATCTTTATTTTTGATGATGACATTCTTGATAGCACGGGTAGATCATTCCTCGATATACCTCACTGGCAGGAAATGGTGGGTTCACTAGACGACAAGGACTGGGAGTATTCCAATGTTAAATCCTCTCTTGATTACAACAGTACCATTGTCATAATGTTCACATCAGGTACAACCGGGCATCCAAAGGGTGTCGAAATCTCTCATCGCAACTATATCTCAGCTGCCGTGAGTTATATGCAGCGAGTATCTCTCCACCCTGACTGGCAGCAATCGATGAAAAATATCGGCAAGGGTATCAATCCAATTCGTGTTTTAGGCGCGCTCGGAATGCACCACATCCTTGGTCAAAGATCCTATAGTGTTATCTTCCCAAAGCTTGGAGTTCCGCTATATCTCCTGTGCCAGCCAAGTGTGCAGAATATCTTGAACGCCGTGGAAAATTTCAAGATTTCTGATGCAATCATTAGGGGTTCCATGCTTACTGAAATTGCGAAAGCCCCTGCTTATAATCTTGGAGAAGAGCTATATTCTCTGAGAAGAGTGGAGGCATCTGCAGCTCCAATGGGACAGTCAACCAAAACAATACTGGAGCAAATAGGCGTCGGGGGAGTTACCCGGGTCTGGGGATTGACTGAGTATGAAAGTTCTTCCCAAAGAAGCTGACAGTTCAGATGCTAATCAATGAATTCTCCTTTTCAGACTTGGATTGATCACCGGCCATGATTTGATAGCCTGCTCGCCGTCTCAATCTGTTGGGGAACTCCACGCCAACTTTGAGGGTAAGGTAACGGATACAAGTGAGCCATGGCGGATCGTGAAACGTAATACCATTGGCGATATTTGGATCCGTGCGCCTAGCCTTAGCACAGGGTACTATCATAATCTAGAGGCTACCTGTGAAGCTTATGGAGCCGATGGGTGGTTCTCTACTGGGGATGTAGGATATGTTGATGAAAATGGAATGTGGTATATTGTGGATCGTAAAAAAGTAACATAATCCTAACAAAAGCAGAATTGCAGCGAGAACTGATATGATACATAGGATTTGGTTAAAGTGAACGGGAACCATGTAGCACCGACTGAACTGGAAGCAGTGCTACTTCGTCATCCAAAAATCGTGGATACTGGAATCATCAGCGTTTCTGTGTAAGCCGCTCATGTCTCAACCCCTAGACGACATTTATTGATAATTGAACATAGATGCCAAGATGAAGGACCACGTGCATACATCGTAGCCGCCCCTGAATCGGCACTGTCCGCCACTGAAGTTAATCATTTCATGGCCGATAAGATTGCCCCATATAAGTATCTTTCTGGAGGTATCTCGTTCATTCCAAGTATCCCGCGGAATTTGGTAATATTACACCAGCCGTCACTCTAGGTACGACCAAAGCTGACACTCTACAGAGCGGAAAAATCATGCGGGAACAACTGCGAGAACTAGCCAAGATGGAACTTAGTTGCTACAGAGGGCACTACCATGGAATACACGCAGTGACCACTAGAATTGCCTCACTTTAATCTCTTTCATAGAATAATTTTAAGAAAAAAAAAAGATGTCATAGATTGTGCCGGCATGTTAACTCCAGAGTGCGTTGGTACTATGCTTTGAGGGGAAACATATTTAAATCAGAGTCGCTACTCGTTATCACCCAGTACCAAGCCGCTAGAAGCTTTCCATCGGGCTGCAAGTCAGACCATTGAAAATCCTACCAAATCACCATATACATTTGCTAGTGCTCTTCAAATATCATGTGCAAAATAGATCGCGGCAGATCAAATGATAAAAGACAGTTGAGCATAGTAAGTCTGGATAGGCATCCTTCAAAAAAGCAGGTATCTGACTATAATTTGTGGAAGAGCAGCGTATATTACACATAATCAGTGAAGATCATAGCTAAAATTGCTAATTGGTAGGCAGTGGGCATCATGTGCGAAGTTTTTACCCAAAGGCTTCAATATTAAGCACCTCAAATTGGAGTATCTAGATGTGTGGCACTGAGAGAATTATCAAGGCCAGAAGTCTCGCACCACCTATTCCGAGTGTCTTGTTTTGTCTGAAACGTTGAGAGAAGATAGGAGCAGATAATCAAAGCCTACTCTTTCATTTAGATACTATAGTAACAACCCCTCCAGTCAAAATACTGTTTGGATTTTTAGCATGTATTAGTTCAGGTGAATTTATCTTTGAGATACTCATATTCTAGTCCCAATATGAATGATGATATTCTAATCCTAAATTTAAATTCATGAAAAGCTTTAGACTTCCATATTTTGAATATTTGAATGATTTGAATGATTTGAATCTTTTCAATACTTTCTTCGAACTTGTTTGTCTCAGCATGAAAGAGGAATAGTAATTATCAATAAACAAACACAACAGCTTACAACTAACAAGATTTCTAACACCATATACAGAATACAAAACCAACGTAAACAAAAAGAAGTCGAGCCATTGAGGAAATAGGATAGGATTAAATATCGGGGTTCTCAATCGCACGGCGTTCAGCTGCATTTGACAAATACTGGCCGACCGATACTTATCAATCAGCAGGCACTCGACCCGGGTTTATCTTCCCACACGATATTAATAATTATACATGCAACCAGATGAACACACTCCGTGTAGTTTTTCTAGCAAAACGCGGTATCATTGAACTTATCAAATAAAGATTCGGATTCGAAAGGAACGAACATCAACCTTGAGTCCTTGACTAGAACCCGCATCTATCTCACCTAAAGATATTGCGGGAGATACTGAATCGGATGGAATAGATAGAGCTCGGTACAACGATACCTCCTATACAATACCATTCTACTCAGAGCAACCTGAGAGTTCAATGTCTCCCCCCCCCCCAAAGCGGGAGCAAGGAAGTCATTCGTAGGAGAAAAACAGACCGAAATTGACCATTGGAGCAATCCTTCGACAATCCAATTGATCCATTTCAATTCAGAGATTCAAAACATCAAATAGTGTCATAACTGAAGGCCATCCAAGGGTATGTTTAATGTCATTAACTCTCATAAATTGATAGATGATTGATTTATTATCCTAGAATTTATTGGGGTGATCAATCTTTACCTTCTTTTTTATCCTACGCTCGCTGCGATTAGTAAAAAAAACTACGCCCGTGCATTGGAACGGAAAACCCCCATCCCTCGCGAGAAAAAAATTCACCCCTAGACGAAAAAATATATCAAAAGCTTCAAATTCCCCCATTCAAAAATATATCCAGTATTAACTCTATATGATTGATATCCTTCAGATTGAATGGACTAGCGGCGAATCGAACGCCGGACCTCTCCCATGCTAAGGGAACATTATACCACTAAACCACAAGCCCGTTTTAGATGCCAAAGTGATGGTTAAAAGAAGATATAAAGGAAGGAATGTGAAGTGGAACAAAGGAAGTGGATGTGCTCTGGAGCTAGACGAGAAGATCCATTTAGCGCAAGGGGCTCGGATGGGTACCTAGGTATCCTCTTTGTCTGTTGAATGATAGCTTGTTTGATGTTAGTATATATACCTAGTCTGTGACTGGAATTTTTGATGCTATCGTCAATCTATTTTAGTATTTCCAATAGTCCGGACTGCAGTCTCTTTTGATATTTCAGTCATGAGATTCCGAAGATACAGTCATCGATTCACAAATCAATTGTCTCAAATTGAGTTGACCATTAATATAAAACTTGATCTGATATTTGTGACAGATTCAGTATTTAGAAGGGATCGAATACTCCAAAGTTCTTGATTGCCGGACCGCACTCCGGACTATTGAAGACTCTGATCTATCCATCGGCCTTAAATAAGTCTGTTCGTTTTAATGGCTTATGCTATATAGGTACGTAAAAAAATGGCTCTAGGCGATAGTGAATAAAGGATTTATGTTAGTTCCAATAGAAAAGTAATATGGTTCTTAACGAAGACTTTTCAATGACTGAGAACTTTATGTATTAGACACAAGAAGTAAAAGCCTTTGTCTGAAGTTGCTAGGTATAAGAACCAATGATTAAAAAATCGAATACTTCTTGATTCAATCCTCATGTGGCATCCTAGATACTATCGGAAGGAACTTTACATTCAGTTTGAGTTTTGACATGAAATGAAGACACAGTGAAGTGAGTAGAGAGTAGAGAGAATCAACTATAAGATTGTAAAACTAAGGTATAAATAGAAACGCTACTTCGAAAAGCCCATAAAAAGACGTATTGAAAGACCCCCCGCTAACATATTTGCAAATTTCAGGATGACGATATGCACCCGTTCCGCAACCTCGATCATCGTTTCTAAGCTTTATACAAAGTGTCCAAAAATCCACTCGCTAATTCGACCACCACGCTCTTATTTGGGAGACTTCCTGCAACTCCATAGAGGGCCGCTGAATCTCCCAAGCTCTTTCCCTTTGCACCTTTACCTTCCACAATTCTAACTCTCTCCTTCTCCTTCTCCCCTTCCACAACAGCAATCAAGTCTTCGACCAATTTCTCCCATACCTTTACGATCGGTAAAGTCACAGCTACGTGGATAGCCGGTGGGTTTTGTAACGAATTAAGATGCCATCCCTTTCCTGACATAGCATCGGCAATATCATAAATATCGAGTGTCTTGGACGTGAAAGCTACAACAGAAACAAGTGGTTTACCGAGTACGTGAAGATCGGCGTTAAGAGATGGGTTTTCGCTTATGGCCTCGATGATCTTCTTGGTAGCTCCAACAATCTCATTACAAGAATTGATATAACCAGTTTCTCCAACACTCATGAGTGAAGCCCAGCATCCAGCAATGAGAGCACCTGGACGAGATCCGGCGATCGATGGAGAAGCATATACACCACCTGACCAGTCAGGAGAGATGAAGTATTGGTAAGTTCTCAAGGCTGCGTTGCGGTAAAGAACAGTCGAGTTACCTTTAGGAGCAAAGCCGTATTTGTGGGTATCGCAACTTATACTAGTAACACCCTTAAGACGGAAATCGAAGAGCTCGGTTTCGAACCCGGCCTTCTCGAGGAAGGGGACAAGGAACGATCCAAGACAGCAATCGACGTGAAGTGGGATCTTACGTTTGACGGCGAGTTTGGAGAGACCGGCGATGTCATCAATGAGTCCATGAGGGAAGTTGGGCGCGGAGCCAACAAGAAGGACGGTATTGCTGTTGATAAGGCGAGATACACTTGGGAGATGGACTTGGTAAGATGGAGCAGGACAAGCGACGAGATGAATTTTAATACCGAAATATTGACCTGCTTTGCGGAATGCTGTGTGTGCTGTTTCTGGTAGGATCCTAAAAACTGATTAGTATAAGAGTGTAAAAAAGGGCATATCCATAGATCTACTAACATTTCCGGCTCCTTTACACCTCTCTCCGCAAGAGCCTTCTGCCTTGCACTTAAGCAAGCCATCAAAATAGACTCTGTACCTCCACTAGTTGTAACTCCAGCAGCTCCTGGAGGAGCATTAAACATCGACAAAACCATTGCCACGATTTCTGCCTCCATCTTTCTCACTCCTGGGAACACATCCGGGTGAATAGGATTTGCGACTGTAAACTTTCCAAATGCCTCCGTTTGTAGCTTCATCAACGAGTCTCCTCCATGATATACAGCACCCGAGACAAATCCATCCTCCCATCTGGTATGATCCATATTGGCCAATGTCTCCAACTCCTTCATAACCGTTTCTTCGGACCATCCTTCCTTCGGTAGCGTCAAATATCGTACAATGCCTGGACCTGTCGGTACCAATTTGCCTTGTAATTTCGTAATTGCCTCTGAGACCTGCTTTTGTACTTGAGATCGTACACCAGGTGCTCGTAGGAATAGCCCATAGAGTGTTCTGCGAATTGAGATATATGCGTCTGCGAAACTACCAAAAAGCCCCCTCCCCTTCAATTTCAAAAGACCCTTCCTGGTCCATCTCAGTAAGAATAAAAAGAATACGATATTTCGAAGTCTGCATTACCAGAAGTATCATCAGCAAAAGTTATTCCATCAGGCACGAGAAGCAAGCATATTGCATAGCTTATCACAGATACGGTGGGTCCAGAAGCATAGAATAAGTACATACAGATCAATGTTCAGAGCCAGTAATTGGCTACTACTTGATGAACCCTTCTTGACGGTGAAGCTATTGCGCAAGCTCACGGGCATTCTCGAACTGCCGGGCATCTTGGGGGGCGGATAGTCGGTGAGTGATGAGAAGGAAAATAAAAGTTGGGGTGGAAGAGTAAGATAAAAGGCAAGAGGCCGAAAGTCGTCGTCTGCATCGGAGGTTTCATTTTCCTTGGTTCAATTGATGGAGATGCCGAGGATGTTACTTACTCATCACATGCTTGCTTCTTATGCTCCATTTCAGGTCTGCCCTTGTAAACTCATTTCTAGAGTGTTTGAAGATATCTAATATACGATATATCGTCATTAAAAAGTGGACATGATCGTTCAAATTTTTCTATTATGAGCATTTGATGTTCTACATATCGAACGTTCATGTTTACAATGCTTCATGGATATACTAGTTACTGGAGGTGCTAACTCAACGCTACGGACGAGAACAACACACTTTAATATCCTCCTACATCATAGATTGAAATCATCATAGAACACAAAACTATATCGAAGAGCTTTGCAAGTATTGAAAATGCAGTACATTGACTGCTGGGGTATGTATGGTTCAAATAATATACAGAAGACAAATTCTTGCTTCCCCAAGAAAACTACATCTGCCAGCATCAACGATGTCCATATTCCTACAGACGCCATCGCTGGTATTGTACAATTGTGCAAACATTTATCTTCATGTTCTTGTGTTGTACGCCTGCAAACGCCTTGCCCGCTATTCGTAGATCATAAGGGCTCCTACAGCCCTAAGTATGCTTGTATGTTGATGAGGATTTGATTTGATTATCGTAGTAAAGGGTTGAATCATCGTGATGCGAAGACAGTTCGCCATTGCCTTGTGTATTTTTCGGCCTCTTTTCCACAGTCTCGTCCTGACTGGTCGCAACCAGGTAATCGAACAACAAAGTCTCCATCCTTATACCCATCCGCCTCATCCGAATTGTATGCATTCATTATTTTCTGTGGCACGAGTGCCAACTTCGACAAGATCGTTGGATGCCATTGTACGATATGTTCCTGATCACTGTTAGAATTTAAACTTGCCCGAGAAAACATGGGCTCACTTACCAATGCATGGAGATCTGCTTTCTGAAAATTGTAAGAACGATACAGAGGATCAAACCATGTATCGAGAAAGAATTTGCTCCATTCTCCCTTTCTGATAATAAAACTAGCCTGCGACAGACCATCTTTATCCTGAGTGAGAACCAAATCAACGTTCTCGCCCTTCAAATTGGGAAACGTCTTTATAACACTGTCCGGAGGCACAATAGATTGATCTTTGATCATCAAGCTTTCCAAGCGCTTTGGAGCCATAATGTGATCTTCGACTTTCAGCGCAGGGTTCATGATGAGAGCATTCTGCTCCAAAAACCATATGTATTCGCTATGTGGAAATTTTGATAAGGCGTGTCGTGCTGCGGGAACTTTGGACCATGAATTCGGCGATCCTTGAATATCATAGTCTCCAATACTGGGGAAAAATGTTGCATATCCTAACAATTGTCAGTTCAATTCTTTTTTGAAACCCAGAACAGCAAGCTGTAGTCATTCGCAAAGCATCTGCTTACCATGTTTCCTGGCATATTGGATTCGATTCTCCTTTACACTGTCCTGATACTCTTTATTATATCCCACCGTATCCAATACTGTGACAATGACAACTGGTGGAGTTCCCGATGGTACACCATTAGCTCCCCCAAGTATACGTGAAAGTATGAAGAATACCACCCCTATGGCACAGGCACCTAGAGCTATCGTCTTCGCCCTACTTCTGCGTAGCATTGGGAAACGTGAGGATCGTGGCGCGAAATATGCTGGAGGGTTCGAGGCTTTCCTCGAGGGGTATGCCAAATGCATTATGTCGTATGTTCTGGACCCCTTGGGCACCTGCTACAATCGTTACAGCTTTTGGCAATAATTGTAGCCCCAACGTCGTACGGGACTTTTCTTTATAGCAGTTGATCGCGATGCACAGGATGCTGAAATTGTTGCGCTGTGTCCTTTAGTATTTCACCGTTATGGTGAACACTTGGCGCGATGAGTGGAGATACCAGGTTGACGGTAGCAGGGTCCTTTGGGGAATCGAGATTAACGTTAAGGTTATTACGAGACAATAAAATACCTAGGTAGCATGTCAATCACAAAAGAGAATTCTTCGACGTCAACTCCATGGGACAATGAGAGGAGAAGGAAAGAAAGAAAGTGTTGTTGCCGTCCTTGTGAAAGTACGAGGAGAATTAGATTAGGTTATTTTAAGGGAAATTTGTTCTTGGCTTGAGGTTGGGTGGAAGTTTTTAAGAAAATGAATAATTTTGAACCTATTCAGACGAGATGTAATCAAACTTCGAATTTTCAACCCTTGCGAATCCTAAATTTGATGGATTCAACAGACAACGGAAAAGAAAATAAGATTAATATATAAAATCATTTATCCTTCCTCCGTCATCTCTTTCCTCTTCTTTGTTCTACATACATACCACCCAAGGGATGAAGAGTACATTACCTACCTCAAATACCCCGTGAACGTGTCCGGATTTCTACATCTAACGAGACGTTCTAGGCAAAGATTAGGGGTAACCCAATATACCATCAACATCCGGCTTCCTCGACATACCTACCAGATAGTATCTATTTCGATTTCTCCGAGAAGCTCTGAAGAAGATGGCAATTCTCATCAAAGCCATCCTCTACACACCGGATAATTAATACTTTTCAATACGACATGACATGCCTTCTGGCCCGTCTATTCACCTCACCAGAAGATTGCACCTGTGCATCCATCCATTTCTTCCAAAAGAAGGCTCTTTAAGCTTCTCATCAATTTTATTAATAGAGCTCGGTATGCCCTGTGCTGTCAGTCCCAAGCTTTTTGTACCATGCAATGATGCCTCGAACATGCACACTAAAATGTCAGAGTGGCACCGTGGGGGTCTAGAAGACAAGCGATGATAATCTGATTGATTCTTCGATCCGTGTCCGCCGGACACACAGAACCCTCTTCATCCACAGAAATTAAATATTATGATGTAAGAACATGTCAACTTACAAAGCTCAAAATCCAACGTCATTGTCTATGCAAGTGTACAGGACATACCTCCGGGTCGCCAGATGGAGTATGGAATCCTTTTAAAAGCTTGGTAGGTATCAATTTCTCTATATTTCAATCTCATTATTATCATTGTTTGTTCTCTTGCTTCATATTCCGCAAATTCCAAAAATTGTGTATCAAAACAGCAAATATACGCCTTAATCCAGACAAAACTCTTCACAATGTCAGAATCTTCGTCAGTCATTCAATTGGAATGCCAATGCAACAACTATCCATGGGGTCGTCAAGGTAAGGAGTCTTTAGCAGCAAAGTATGCAGCTTCTACTCCAGGAGGTAAATTCAAGCTTGATGAGAGTAAAGAATACGCAGAGATGTGGATGGGAACCTATCCGACTACACCATCTCTTATCTTGTCGAATGGCAAAGACTTACAAGAGCATCTCAATGCCAACAAGGAGAAGCTGATTGGGAAACCAACACTCGATAAATTTGGAGCAGATCTACCATATTTACCAAAGGTATTGCCCCCCTCTCTCTACCATACACGTATAAATGTTCATACTAACCTCATCCTTCCAGATCCTTTCAATAGCTAAAGCTTTACCTCTTCAAATTCATCCTAACAAGAAGCTTGCGGCCAAGCTTCATGAACAAGACCCTGAGAAGTTCGGCGACACAAACCACAAACCCGAAATTGCCGTTGCCCTTGGAAAATTCGAAGTTTTCGTCGGATGGAAACCCATTTCTGATATCCAATCGCTCTTCACCAGCATCCCAGTTCTCACCTCCAAATTCCTCTCTTCCTCATCCGACACCATCGACAAAGATACATTGAAATCCATCGTCCACAAAATCCTTTCTCTCTCCGATGAGGAAATAAAATCCATCTATAACACTCTCAAAGACACCCCATCCTCGAAATTCCCCAACTCACCATACATTCCCGACCTACTACCCCGCCTCGCTGATCAATACTCCGCCTCAGATCCCGGTAACCTTGTCGCCCTCCTCACAATGAACTATCTTATCCTCCAAAAAGGCGACGCCATCTACGTCCCCGCAGACGGTATCCACGCCTACCTCTCCGGCGACATCGTAGAATGCATGGCACGCTCCGATAACGTTCTCAACACTGGTTTCTGCCCCCGTGCCGACCGCGACTCTGTCGATCTCTTCAGCGCCGCGTTGACATTTTCTCCCGTCGGAAAAGATGAATGTATACTCAAGCCTACATCAAGCTCCAAGGGTAAGAATGGTAAAACCAAGGTCCTCGCACCACCAATGAGCGAATTCGATATGTTAGTTTTAGAGCTTCAAAAAGGAGAAAAGGAAACGATTGAGAAGCTGGGAGGGCCTAGTATCATGGTTGTTACCGGTGGTAAAGGAACTATGAAAACGGGAGGAGAAAAGTTTGAGGTCAAGGAAGGATATGTATTCTTTGTGGGAGTAGGTACCGAGTTGGAGTTTGAAGCTGAGGAGGGATTGGAGGCACATATTGCTTTCTGTGAAGCGTAGTAAATCAAAGTTCTAGATGGTAAATGTTAGACAAGGATGACACAATGCGATATGATACGACTAGTACAATAGTTTTCTCATAATGTGGTTCATCAGTATGTGGACTATATCACCATATGAACCATTTCAGAAATACATCAAAATCGAGCTTTTTTTAATATTTATATCTTAATAGTTAATTATGATTTCTAAAAGAAAAAATTACTAAAAATCATAATAAAATTCACGAAATATTTTTATTATCTAGATTTTTTTTATGAATAATTCATTTTCGAAATTGTTACAATTTATATTATAAAACTGTTACAACGGGTTAGTAACAGGCTGTGGAATCACCAGCGTATAGGCTATAGTGGTACTATAAGCCTCGGTGATTCAGCTATAGTATACCGGGGGATGCTAGGCACTCAGGAAAGCCTCAGGCATATATATAGTATTAGTTATAGGATATCTTAGAAATATAGGACATAGTTCCTAGGACAATAGATCCTAGGAAAGACAGAACACAGTAAACAAAAAGACTTTACTAGGATTAATAATGTCCTAGAGGATTAGCCTTAGGACAAAAGAATAAGCTAGGATACTAAGAGTCACAGAATTAATGTCCTGTAATAAACAGCTCAGGAACAACAATGCTTCAGGAGCGCCTGATTGTTCTAGTTGTTCAAGAAGGATGAAGATCTATATAAGGAAATAGGTTTCATTACAATATAGAGCTTCGTGCTTAAGAACAATTATTAATTTTATTATTATAGTTATGAGAATTGCAATTAGTTATAACCTTATTGAATTCCTATTTGAAGTTTAGTTTAAACTATTTCGAAAGATTTCTAGTCATTTCCACATGATCTTAGAGGCAGCTCCCGTAACAAAAACACAACTCTTTTTTTTAACTTTAATAATAATCAAAAAAAATTACGTTTTATAGTTATGAGAAATTTTTTGAATGATTTTATCAGCTAATAAAGAAAGTATATAATTATACACAAACGAATTTTATATACAAAATAAAGTGGCTTATATAATGATATGACTTATATACTAATGAACTACATTATAAGATATTAATACTCGCTTTCAAAACGTACCTTTTTAATCTTAAGGAATACATTTTATGTTTGAATTAAAGTATATTGTAGAGTGAGTGACCAACTTCGGGGGGATATTATACTAATCATGGAGCGAAGTCATAAATTTTGAAAAATTTAGCCATCTCATATGACAAAGCAGTTGGGACAAAGTTGACTTTTTGAACACAATTCATGACACTAAGAAGCAACATCTGAAAAATGTAATTATCCATTGATATCTAAAAAAAAAGTAAAAGACAATCCCGATCAAACCGGACCAGCCATACCTAAATTCATATCACATCCATTCAAAGCTACAAAACAATGTATCAAAATCCCCTCCAATTCCCCATCCTAGCATAATGCCACGACCAGTGCCGCAGCGAAGGAATCAGAAAGATGCATCCCAATCCAACCATTCCCAAAAGAGTCCGGTCGTATATAAGATACGGGGTGTTGACAAATAAACTCGCGGTACGCCGGTATGTGAAAAATAGAACAAGACGTTCGAATTTCTGGGCTCCAGCTGAGTTGGCTTATTCTTCGCACACAGACTAATCGACACGATACTGTGAAGGATCTCGTGGCAACTTAAGAAGGTGCGGGAAAGGTGTGAGTGTATAGGGAGTGAAAAGGTACTTCCTGGATATTTTGTTTTCACACATTTGGAGGCTGTTGGTTCAACAGAAAAATGATATACAAACAGTGAGATAAGTTAATGACAGTGTATATATGTTTGTAACTCTGCTCTTGTATCTTCACTGTGATTTCCTGGTTTCGGGACCGACAGGTGTTTGAAGACGTTCTCCTCTTGTATTTTCTGCGTTCACCTGCTCATTAACTTCTGCTTGTGTCTGTTCATCTTCATCTTCATCATCAGCATCGTCACCTCCAACATCTATCACCGTCTCGCCAGCTTTTTCGAGTACTGATTTACTCCAGCTTCTGGTCCATTTCCAAACAGTCTGAAGCTGTTAGCAGATGTCCATAATCATAGAGTGGGTAGTGACTCACAACTAAGAAGGCACCAACACCAATAATGACAAGAGTCCAACTGATGTTCTCTAGACGATTCCGACCTGTTCCAGCTCGAGCGCGGCCGCCACCGAAAAGGCCAGTCTGTCTTACATTCCACCAACTCAACGGGGACATTGCAAAGAATATCTTAACAAATCCGAGCATTCCCAAGGACGCCAACCCTTTTAACAGATGCTCGGCCCAAGTATTTGCTTCAGTATCCATGACGTGTAGAACTGGACCATTCCCTCCCATTGAAGGCAATGAGAAAATAGTATCATACGGGTCCAGATAAAAGTTGATGATCGGATCGGCGACGAAGCCCATGCCAAAAATCGTAACAAACAGTATTGCCAACGTAAGACATAGTTGTGTCATAGCACTACTAATCCAATGACCCCACTTCATTCTGTGAAAGTGATATCGAAAGTGGCACGTAGGACATACATAATAGTTTTTTGATCCGGGGTTTGTATATCTCCATGCTGTCAAACAGCCTTCATGAACATATCTTTGACTTCCCTTGCACTTGCATGGTCGCATTAGACGGCCCAATTCAGGATCTTCCGATGTATATGTCACTCGGGGTGTTGGATTGATCATTGAAGCTATGCCTTCAGTGGGAGTTTCGAAGGTCGGCTCTACGGTTTCCAGGCATATTCGACATAGTCGGGATGGGTAATATCTTCGACGTGTTGGTTCCGGCTCTGGTTCAGGTACAGGAGCTTCTTGGGGCGTATGCTCGTCCGCTGTGAATGCGTCGTTCTGATTCTCGTGATAAGATTGCGAGTCGGATTCTGCCGACAGATCATCCCACGACCAAGTAGGTTGTGTAGTTGCCATGTTTGCACCGATGAGACTTGTAGGTATGAAGAAACGAATGAAGAATCAAAGCTATCAAAGCTATAGCGATGACGGAGAAGGTTACTTATTGACTTTCCGATCTCCGATGTATGATTGATTAGCTAGCTAGGAATGGTTCCTGCAAGTGTTTGAAACCTCCGGCTATTCAAGAAGAAGAAGAAAAAGAACAAAGAGAGAATTTCAATAAGCGCTATGTTTGATGTACTAGAAAGTCAGTGAACAGATGGTTAATAAAATCAATCAAAGGAAAACTTCATTAAAGAAGGATGGAGAGCATGTAGAGACATCGACGGCAGTGGTGAGATGTGGCTTCTTGACGGCCTTTACTCGTAAGTAGAATGTTCGGTTTTTTTCTTTTGGTCTGAATCAGATTTCTGAGGTGTGTGCACTTTCAAAAGTTGCGCTAGTAAAATCCCCGAAAAATCTTGAAAACGTGAGATACCTCCTGCTACCTAATTTATTAATGTATTCAAAAATTCTTCATAATAAATCTTTACATTACAATACCTTTACTATTGCAGTTTTGCTCGGTATATGTTATGAGAGTATTTACCCGTAAAAAAAAAAAAAAAAATTACATATTTTTCGTGAACGAAACTAAGAAGTTTGAAGAGCTCTAATATTTGCCCAGATATCACTTGGTGCCTGACGTTGAGCTCACTTACTGCCAGATATCTAAGGCGCTAATCCTCATCGCGTAGTCGTGGACCAGAGCTGCCTGTAGCTCTAAAGTCCAACGACCCCAAATACAGCTTCACTCTCTAAACTTCCAACCCATACTTTACATTTCCGTCAACCCTTTCTGTAATTTTGAACCTCCAGCACCCTCCGGCACAAGTTTTGAAATAAACAGAAACAATGGCGGATAGATATTCTTTCTCCTTGACAACCTTCTCTCCCAGGTACGATTGAACCAGCCAAAGCTCCTAGAGATACTACTATGTGATATATAATACATGCCGAAGTACTTTGCTAACGTTTTGAAGTGGGAAATTGGTTCAAATAGGTTCGTACCCATTGAATGAGACTTAATTCAGAGATGCGCCAAGCTACATCTTTACTTGTTGATTTATCCCATCAGCTCTACATACTAATCAAATCGCAAACAGAATATGCATTAAATGCCGTCAACCAAGGTGTTACCTCATTAGGAATCAAAGGTACACATATATTCTCACTAAACATATGTATTCGTGCTAACCTATCGTCAGCTACCAACGGCATTGTCCTCGCCACGGAGAAGAAGTCCTCATCAACCCTCATCGATCCCCCCTCCCTTTCAAAAGTCTCTCTTATCACTCCAAACATCGGCATGGTCTACTCCGGCATGGGACCTGATTACCGCGTGCTTGTCGATAAGGCCCGCAAAGTATCCCATACTGGCTACAAGCGCATTTACAACGAATACCCACCAACCCGTATATTAGTACAAGACGTTGCGCGGGTGATGCAAGAAGCTACGCAATCGGGAGGTGTACGACCATATGGTGTCAGTTTGTTGATCGCAGGTTGGGATGATGGAATTGAGCCAGAATCGGAGGATGTTGCCGGTGCAGAAATGCATCCAGATGAAAAGAAGCCATCGGGCAAGACTGGTGGTATTTTGAAGGGTGGACCTATGTTATACCAAGTCGATCCTAGTGGTAGTTACTTTCCATGGAAGGCGACTGCCATTGGAAAGAATGCTACTTCAGCAAAGACTTTCTTGGAAAAGAGATACACCGAGGGATTGGAGTTGGAAGACGCTGTACACATCGCTCTGTTGACGTTGAAGGAGACCATTGAAGGAGAGATGAATGGCGATACAGTGGAGATTGGTAAGTTTAAGAACGTCGGTAGATATTCTACTTCGCTAACATCTTCCTAGGTATTGTAGGACCACCAGCCGATCATTTAATGGGCATTGAGGGAGTCGAAGGTGCTCAAGGCCCACGTTTTAGAAAACTGAGCCCTCAAGAAATTGAGGACTACCTTACGAATCTATGAGCTGCTTTTCTTTTATTCTGCAATAGCAATGAACTTTAACGCAGTCTCAAGGTCATGATGTATTATAGAATGGCATAAGAAGGCAAAATGAGCAAAGAGATACCATACTGATTTACTTCTATACATTTTTGCTCTCCAATTTATTGTGAGGTCTCTTTGAATAGTTGTTCTATCTATTCCTGTTCAAGCTTCGGTATAATGTTGGATGAAATATCCACAAACTAATATCATTAAGAGAAGTCCTGCACGAGTGCAAAGCTACACTTGTACCCTGCCCGCACGCCCACACATTTCTTCGTACTCCCTTCCCCAAACTCCAAATCAACCAACCTCCACTCCCCGCATCTCTCTTTCTCCCCCTCTCCAAGGCCAAGTTGTCCATTTCCATTCTCTCCAATGACACACAATTCTCCATCCGTCGTCAGCACCAGCATGTGGTTCTCACCAATGCTGAAATCGAGGATGTCGGCTCCGTGGATATCGAGTGGAATGGGATCGTAATCGTCCGAGTATGAAAATGAAGAGATGTCTGAGAGTTCGGGAATTATAGAAGGTGTATTGGTACGTCCCCATATGTAAAGATCGTGGCCTGTGGTAAGAGCGGCGGTTAGGGGACCGGAAGAAGATAGTTTGTGGATTTTTCCAGTTGGGAGAGAGATAAGAGAGGTGAGGAGGGTGGGTTGAGATGCTGGATTTGAAGAGGTGGGTTCGCGGCCGAGACAGGAGGGGTACCGTTCGTCGCCCCAGGTGTAAACATTTCCTTCTTGGGTGAGGGCCGTGAAGGTGGTGGTGTTGGAGACGAGTTGCGTGATGTGCGGGAGGGGAAATGTGAAATCCGGACTGGCTTGGGAGAGATATGCGGAAAGAGATGGGTATTGGATTAGGGTTGTTGGTGTGGAAGCTGAAGAGTTTAGTAGATTGTTGATGGGTGGAAATGGGGAATCTGAGGTTACCTGCAATCTTGTCGTTTCCAGCTGCGGTTGCCTTACTTGCAACACCTTCTGATTTTTCAAAATCTGTTTGTTCGTTTGAAGGTTGAGTGCTATTCCTTGCAGTAATCTGTTCTAATTGTGCTTGTAAGAAGCCATCTGGGGAACCGGCAACTTTTATCTCTTCGTGGAGACCTGAGGAGCCATTCGATATTACTGCTGCAGCCGAAAGTACATCAGTACCATGTTTGATGAGACCATGTATCGCTGCATGAAAAGTTATGCGAGGTAAAGTATCTACAATCTTCTCGTGACTTATTTGACTTATTGAAGAATAAGATGAAGGTTGGCCTCGAAGTCTGACAAATGCACAATTTTAACATCTGAAGATTCCGTCCACTTTTAAGTAGGCTGCTGAAGCTGTAGCTGATCTTTGCCTCTCAGTAAGATTTGACTAGAACTCTAACATACATCCCTAAACAGACTTGTCACTCGCTGGAGCCATTTTATTCTCATTGATGATATCATACTGTAAGATCATGTGATATACACGTGACGTATCCAAAGAAATCCTCTCTCTCTCGAAACAAAGGGAATACAAGAAGCCATGAAAGTACTATCAACATACCCAAGCAAGCCGAAAAAGAAGTTCCAAGAATCTTAATAGTTCCCTCTGCTCTCAATACTCGTTTGAAAGTGAAGACATCTTCAGGCTCATCGGGAAGACCTCCTTCGAATTGCAGCTGATTCCAAGCATTGAATCCACATGCCCATAATTCCATACTTAGATGATTGATGTATTGCACAAAGATGCAGCGTTGAAACTATTTCAGCCCTACCAAGATAAGAGTTGATCTGATTCTCTTGCGATAGCCTGAAGGGGGATGAGTACGCGAGTACGTCCGTAAAAGGTTCGCTAATGTAACACTGGTGAGTGCGGCTAATTTGTAGGTGGGATGTTGAGGATGTCCAAGTGATTAACATCACATCTATGCTGCACGACCAACTCCACCCATCGCCTTAAAACAAACATCGCTTTCTTTGATCCCAACTTCACATATATATGTTCAAGGTTTTCGTCAAGATAATCATACCCAATAATTTCAATAGAGTCAACCGTCTGTCCTGGATCCGACGATCCTATCCTATACAATAGGAAATCTATCCCCGAGGTATTCGTCAGTGTTACTTCAGGCTTCCAAATTCCATTTTACTGCTGCCTGTGGCGGAGTCTTAATTACTCCTGTCCTGACCAAGCGATCAATATTGTTCCTGATCAGCCATCGTGGTACCCATTCAATTCTTGCGTATATCTTCTGAAGTTCAAAAAGATATAGCCTCGAGATTTATTTCAATCGATCTAGAATTCCTGCAATTGTTTTTTGTATGTGATCCCCCCACGTTTACGCTTCACACCGGAATATCATTAAACGCTTCAGAGTCTTGCAATCTCACAATACCTCCCGAATTGCTGGCTCAGATCTTTCTGATTAAGATCTGATAAACACAATAAAACCAAACATCTGATTCTCCTCCGTTTGTTGATTGTTCTACCCAAAGTGCTTGGTTCGGGATTCAGCGGGGCTCAATTGAGGGGCATCAAGCGACCTTCCTCTTAATCTCGACGCCATCACGACCGTGGGTAGAAAACCGTCGTGGATAGTACATCCTCGAAATCAAAAACATCTTAAATCATCTTAAATGGCCACTATGAATCTCAACCTGCCTATACGGACTGCTAGTCGGAGAAACGATGAGAGTCGAAATCACTACATCTCTGGCAACTATACACCCACCTCTTCAACCGAGGCAATTGCTGGACCAATACGAGAACCAGCACCCGTCAATGAAAGATTAATTGTTGGACTGGATTTTGGGACAACATATTCTGGGTATGTTTATTTTCACAGCTTGTTTTGCCAAGACATTTGTGGCACCACCAAAACTGGACCTTTATATTTCTGGATAATTGCGCCATTTACCTTTGTTTGCTATTTTTACTCGAATGTTTATCGAATTCGACACTACAGTTTCTGTACATGTATGGATTTTAGGAATCTTGATCTTATAACGCCTCTTGAAGTAATTTCATTCATATCAGCACCTCAAGCAAGCCCTTGAACCATAGTTTACTCAAATTCCTACACAAATGCTAACATTGAACCAGTGTTGCTGTTGTTTACACATCGAACCCTGATGATGTAGATATCATCAAGACTTGGCCCGGAAGTAATGGAATTACATCTGATAAAGTGCCAACAGAAATTGGATACTCCAAACCTCCAGGATCACCAGCTGGAACTGAACCGACGATAAAATGGGGCTGTCAATTTCGTCCCGAGGAACCTCGACTGCGATGTATCAAACTTTTTCTCGACCGATCTCAAAAATTACCTTTCTACGTTAGTCCGGCTGAAACTGCCAACCAACTGAAAGAGCATAGCAAAAACGTAGTCGATGCGGTCAGTGATTACTTGACTCAAATCTACAAGCATACGATGGAAACCCTGACCCGTCGATATGGAGAATTATTCATGTCAACCACGAAAGTCGAATTTGTTCTTACCTGTCCAGCAGTCTGGTCAGATGCGGCGAAGAATACCACGCTTCAAGCTGCAGAGAGAGCGGGAATGGGTGATAAGTCAGCAATTCAGATGATCAGTGAGCCTGAAGCCGCTGCTGTCTATACCCTGAAAGCCATCCAACCAAATCATCTACAAGCTGGTGATAACTTTGTAGTATGTGATGCCGGGGGTGGTACGGTTGATCTCATCGCCTACAAAATCATATCTCTCAAGCCGTTGCAAGTAGAAGAGTCCGCTGTAGGTACGGGAGGGCTTTGTGGAAGTGCGTTCCTCAATTATCGATTTGAGGAACATTGCAAGAGTAGGATAGGAGTTGCACGATTTGAAGAGATGAAAATGAAGAAAGCCAAATCATGGCAAATGGGACTGAAATACTGGGAAGAATATGTGAAGCGAGACTTCGACGAAGAAAACGATACAGAGTTCAATATTCCTCTTCCTGGCCTAGCAGATGATATAGATGCAGGTCTGGATGGCGGATTTTTTATTATGACAACTGCTCAAGTCAAAGATATTTTCGAGCCAGTTGTCAAAGAGGTGTGTGATCTAGTTCAAGGTCAAGTTGACGGTATTAGACAAAAAGGGGGGATCGTCTCAGGTATCGTACTTGTGGGAGGATTTGGACAAAGCAACCATTTATACAAAAGATTAAAATCGCATTTCAACAGTGCAGCGCCACCACCTTACAGTGAAAGGCCCACTCACGCACAATCTATAGCCTTAGCACAAAGCAATTCTGTAGAGGTTATGCAGCCTATCAATGCATGGACTGCTGTGGTCCGAGGAGCGGTTCTTAAAGGATTAGAAGGAAGCGTGGTGGTGTCCAGAAAAGCACGGATGCACTATGGGACTTCATATGCAACGGTGTATGATGAGGATAAACATAATGTTAGCGAGAGATATTGGAGTCCATTATGGGAACGATGGATGGTCAGCGATAGAATGCAATGGCATCTAAATAAGGTAAAGTTTACTCTTCCCTCCCCCTTTTACCTCGACAGCACCACTAACCCCATCCAGGGTGATACTCTCAACACAGACACACCCATCTCTTTCCACTATACGCGCAATTTCCGCCCAGGGCAATCATTAATCGTGTCCGATGATCTTATTGCTTGCGATTCGGATGGCGAGCCTCCAGCGTCCTTCACGAGAGATCTAGTAAACGTGTGCACGCTCACCACAGATCTGGGAGCCGTGCCAAAGAGTCTGTATACGAGATTAACGACCACGAGGGGAGTGGAATTTCTCAATTTAGATTTTACTCTAGAGATGGTAGTAGAAAGCGCCGGATTGGCGTTTGAATTGAAAGTGGATGGATTCAGGTATGGAAGAGTGGAAGTCGAATTTCATTGAAGGGCATATATTAGCAACGAGTTTATGGCCCACGATAGAGGATTAGCTATGTGAGAAGACGGACGAATGAGATGTACCGGTTGGATGAAGGTAAATCGAGATCATCTTCTGGAATGATACTATGATCATTTGCGTTGCGTGCATCCATATATATTAGCGATATCAAGAGAATCTAGACTTTTATAGTTACATCAATCAAGTTATTGAATCCTTTTGAGGTTCCCTTGCAGTATATTATGACATGCCTTAATGTGAAAAACGAGCATAGCATATGATACCTAGGTATGTTTGAATCCATCACGACTTCCCAGGCGCGATATTATGGCCTCTTGAAGAGGAAGGTGGACCGACCGAGAGCACGTGTTGGGGCTCAGTAAGATTTAATTACTTCGTCTCTAAATAGTTTCAGGTAACGAAAAGATTCCTTAATCCCTGGAGATCAACTTATTGATGATTGCAAATAAATGAAAAAGTGTGAGCTCATAGTCGATCAATTAAATTTTCGTGGTGCGACCTTTTCCGCTGCGTATCCAAGATCACAAGCGATATCATAGAGTAGTGGCTATGTGCTGATTCTAAGCATCAGACTTGGGAGTATATACATTAGGCCGTCTCTTGCCTAAGAAACTTTGAAGCTAGAACAAAGCCTCACAAGAGGATACTGATTTTTTCTTCGGACGCTCTTCTTTATCCTGCACCGGGGACGTCTCTATTTCAAGTGGCCCGGAATTAAGCTGCCTTGAGTTTTTCAGATCCTTTCTTCTCTAATAGAGCGGGCGTTCTATACAACTTGTATGGCTATTCAGGCATACCCATAAAACGATAATTTTCAGCCCATAGAAATATCGTCACTGGACAACATGTCAGATCAACCCTTATTCTTTTCATCTTTTCCCGGAATTGTGCAAACACTGCAAGGTTATTCAATGGCCACGAGACATATGCTACGAAACTCAGAGTAGTCCGTTTCCTCATCACAGAATCTTCGGCTCTCTCCAAAGCCCAGCTGATGCAGGCTGCATTCTTTGCCAATACCTCTGGTTGTGTATAATCTCGATGCTTATAGATCGACGAACTACACTACCATCTGCCAAGACTCCACTGTATTTCTATATCCGCGTGCTATATGGCACACGTGTGGGCATATTAGTAGATGTAGGAGAGGCAGCCGGTCATGATTGGTTCGTATGTGGTTTCTCGAGCCCAACTCTGCTGAAGAGGAAATTCTAGAGAAACTGGAATCTCGACGTCTCAAACGTATGTTATTTGCTTTTTCTCTCATTGAGCTTGCCACAACCATACTTATATACTTTTTTCTCCCAGAATTTGCCCAAGGAGAAGCTCTGGAGGCTCTTAGAGACTTGGTCAAGACGCATATAAAGCCTTGGGTTGAAGCCTGTTGCAATTGCCGAGAGATCATGAGAATTGCGGCCGTACGATTGGTAAGAATATAATGCCAACTCGCCTCATTTATGTGAGAACTAAGGATAACGAAAGCGTTCGGCTTATCACAACAATGGATTCCATGGAACCATCCAAACACCCATACTTGATTTTTGGTTATTGCTGGGGTAGAGGAAACGACGTTGCAAAAACGGCAACCAGGAATCTTGAGGGTCGTCTACGCAGTTTCAATGCTGCTAACCTTCCTAAGACCATACAAGAAGCATTAATTTTGACTAGAATGATAACCATCCGTTACCTATGGGTCGATGCAATTTGCATTGCCCAATCCTCAGAAAACGATGACTATAGCGGATTCCAAACGGAGGCAAGCAAAATGTAAGATTACAATACCAACACCCAGTGCTGTATAGCTGCGTCAGTCGCTAATGATGCAGCGGAAGGGTTCTTCAGAGAAAGGCTGCTTGGGTGGTACCCAATCCAATCCATCTTCCCAACCTACACAGGTACTGTTGGTCCAGATCGGCAACCTATGACACTGTAGCCAAAAGATAGCGTCGCGAAATTGAGGAACGTTATTGATGAATAGCCACTATCAAAACGCGGATGGTGCTTATAGGAGTTTTCGCTTCCACCACGTATACTTCATTGGACCTCTTGTGGGCTATACCGCGAATGCCAATTCTTCCTACTTTCTAGAAGGAAGTTTCAAGAAGTGGGAGACGTATGGTTATGCTGCTACTGCTACTCCTCAAGATATTCTAGCCATGCCTGACGACAAACTCCTGACCCACGATGACTGGCATCGCTCACTTCGTTTGCTATCGGAGAAAGGCTTAACCTTTTCCAAAGATCGGGTATACGCCATCCATGGTATTGCTTGTCTCATCATAGAGCGACTCAAGGCTGAATACTTTAATGGCGTGTTCCGGCCATATCCTGCTCAAGGACTTGCGTGGAACTACTCCCCTTGGGGGTTCTTACGATGCATTGCCAGATGTATCCGTGGAACCTAGGAACGACCGTTTTCATACCTGGTGCTGGGCCTCGAATGGGCCGGTCCAGTTTTCAGCTATTCCTACAGGTGACTGGCACTCCTGTATTCATGATGTCCATCCACATGTATCCCCTTCGTATCCACGAAACACGAACTTGACCGAAATCATCGACTCGATGCTTCATATCAAAGCTCCAATCATCCAAGTCGACCTGGTTTATAAACCTTGGGGGTCATTCCCTCCTCCAAGAAACGTTAGTATTTATTGAGATGGTGGGGAACCACTAGATCATCACTTTTGGGTATGGCTTGATAATCAGCTTGGATCAAATCATTCGACGGCCACCAACATACTACATAATGCTAGCCGTGATATACTGCTCAAAGGGCCACTGTCCAAGTACTGCTTCTTGGAGGATGGCAATCTCACACACACTATGGATTGTTGGTACAAGAGATGGATACTCAACCCCAGGGGTGTTACCAAAGAAATGGATTTATAAAGCTGAATCGTCACACTTCACATTGTGATGGAGATGGAATGCGAGCGAATAAATTCGAAGAAATATTGTCAGAAGCTATTCTTCTATAGCGTTGACTCATTGAGTCCAATAAATTATGGTCGCAAAATTATGGTTCCATCCATTCTAAGATTGAATATTTCAAATGGTTTCAAAGGGGGCAAGCGAATCCGAGCATACATGTCATGCCAGATAGCTTGTCATGTGCATTGCGGGGTGCTCTCTCTCTTAAGAATCCGAAGAGTGAATACAGTCGCTACACTGAATCAACCATTCACTTCATGATTGTTAGCCACGTCAATGGCTACCATCGTTCCTCCCCTACTTCTCAGACAAAGCTTTCTTCTTACAACTCATTTGTTTCTCAGTCATGGCCACCTACAATTACCTGAGTACTCGACATTCCATTCCAATAACTCTTCAAGTACCAAGCACAACAATCAACTCAACTCCATCGCATTCTGGTACTCCCCCAGACCGGACACCATATTTTGTTTCACAACAGAAAAACTGTGAAGAATTCAGCGCTATGTCGGCCAACACAGCATTTTTGCAACACAATGGCATGGAGTTTCTCAAGGATGATGAAACTGCAGACAGGAAGATTCAAGGTAAAGCTTCAAATTGTCTTTTCTACCATATATCATCACTAGCAAGGTTCAGTGAACACGACCGCACCTCTCCTAATGAGAAAACATCAGTCTATCACTGGAAACACCAAAACACTCCATAGATTTGGCGAATTTCCCCGAGAAATACAGATTAAGATCTTCAAAAACGCGCTTCCTGACCCGCGCATTGTCTATCTCGGATGAACTCATGTTTTTGAACCATGAAGAGGAAGTCACCTGGGTTCATGCGAGCGTGGATAAAACCGGGACACTAGGCCTCCTACCTTTACTTGAAACATGCACAACATCAAATGCCTCAGTCTATTTTGGAGATGGATTTACTAAGATCAAGATTGAGCCTCTGAATAGTCGCCCACACACAGCCAACAAGCCATATCTTCGTTTCGGCTACAAGGACGGGGGCGATAAAGCTCTCAAATATACTTATATGAGACTTTCTGAAGATATTATTGTGGTGGATTATGATTCATTACACCTTTAATATAGACATGGCGGATCACTTGATCTCGGGATGCTTACCCATATCGCTGTGAGTAATTTTGGATATTTATCAGTCAGAAAACTTTGGGTCAGCGGCAACATGACCGAGCTGTAGAACGATATGTATTCGTGATGCCCATGTCTCAAGACGCTCAGTGTTATCAGTTCGGGAAATTGCCTCAGGAAAATGCCTCCCGCTACCCGACTTCTTAGTATCAACAAAGACTTGCTCAAGCTAGACGTTAGAGATAAAGACGAGCGTCAAGTCCCGCTTGAAGAGGCGGATCATAGGTACGGAGTGTAGGAGAAAACACTGAAAGCACGATGTATTTTTGACAGACACGTTGAATCATATCGCAAAGAAATAGAGGAAGAAGGAAACAAAGATGCTTTCGAATACTGGAAGAAGGTCGAGGTAGTCAATGTTTTACATTGCTGGCCTGATGAACCTCAGGATGAACCGAATCTCTACATTCCAAAGATTGACTCCTATGTGCGCTGCAATGATGATGGATTCCTGGCACCCTTACCAGAGACTACGCCCGATAGTTTGATACAGCTCAGAGATCTTCTCAATCTGGTAGAGCTTGGAGACGAGCAATGGTCACATGAGCTACAGAATCGACTCCTTAGGTGGTGTCCTCCGCGGGAAGTTTGACGTGTTATTTAGAGATTGCATTTCATTCCAATAGGGTTACGAAATATCCTCTTGGGGGAATTAGATGTACGCAGGTAAAGCAATACCAAGATGTCAACTTTATCGAGCAAATTGATGTGCGGTGACCCAACGTGATCTATATGACTAGTGATGGCCCATGGAGGAGAGGGGTATGTATGACCCACTGCGAGGCCTCTTGATACTATCTACTTCTTTGAACCCTTTCCTTAAACAGTGAGAAGAAGCTGCTTTCGCTGGTTTGTGTCCAAGCTACAAGTCTTGAGTCGAATCTGAGCATACAATAGCATAGTGGCTCAAGGAGCAAATTCACAGCCATACCATAGACGGCGGGTGCTTCAACATATCCGAAAGAGCGACTAATACCTCCAATGACACGGCCTATTACTATAGGAATCTGAAAGGGCAACACCGGATCAAATATCTGGGTCATGAGAAATATGAAAGTGTTGTATCTGATGTGGAAAGATGCGAGAGGGAGGAGACAAAGTTCAACTGTTGCGTTCTTGTATGTCTATCAAATTACATGTGTGAGATTACTAGTCCGTAGAGGATCTTACTTTATTGTAGCGACCTTTTGTGTGGGCTTTACTTAGGTATAACAGAGTTTCCCTGTGAAATGCTTCTTATCACGTCCCTTTCTCTTCTTCTTCTTCTTCTTTCTCAATAGTCTCCTTGAGTATCTACACATTAATAGAGAATCGCATCCAAAGCAGAATTACCGCAGGATGAAAAGAACGAGACAGTGATGAAGGATACATATTCAAATGCGACTATAAATCTTTCATGCAGTAGGTCATGTTCATAGACACTTAATATCATGACGCTAATCCACACCTACCGTAGCTTGAACTACAACCACTTCCCGATCAAAGAAGTTGCCGGATACCTCATCCATCCTGGTATCCCCACGCATCAACCCAATCTACGGATTGCAGATGTAGGGACTGGGACCGGGTAGGCAATCAAATCATTCGAATCAGGCAACCGCGTATCCACGCATCACCACACATACCAACCCTTCTCATCCCATCCCCGTCCCAATCCAAATACTAACCCCCACCCCAGAATATGGGCCTGCGACATATCCTACAACCTTCCCCCACCATCCAAATCGACGGCTTCGACATCTCCGCCGCGCAATCCCCCGCTCGGGGTTTCCGTCCGCAAAATATACACTTATACACTCACGATGGATCTCGAGGACTACGCGAGCGAGTTTCACGAACGCTACGATATCGTGCATGTGCGACTTTGGCTCTGCGTTGTGAATGATCTGGAAGCGAGGGCTTTGTTGTGGAATTTAATTTCGTTGTTGAGGAAGTTGGGGCTTGTGTTTGGGGGTTTGTCTAGAAGTCTTGGGTACCTTGGACTTGTGAACTAATACGTGGGGATTTTGGAATCGGGCGGGTATTAACGTGGATGGAACGGCTGCCGCTGGCTGCAGAAGTGGTTGTGATGCAGGAGGGAGCGCTGACGACGACTGCGTCGGAACGACTTTGTGATACGTTTCATAACCGAAGCCGGACTGTGAATATGGGTAAGAAGGATACATTTCCCAGATAAAGTTATTCTAAGATTGAGATAGGTGGGTTGAGGGTTTGCAAACTCTTTTTGAAGAAGAAGGACTTGTGAATGTTTCTCGTACCGAGCATACATGGCCTAATTATCTCCGTCCTCTTTCGTCACAAAGTTCTATGGCTGCGACTGCAGATGTGATGGCGAAGATCGATGCTTATAACACGGAGGGAAGTGGGATGCGGATGAAATTTGTAGTGGACTTGAAGAGAGAAAGCGCGAATGGGGTTGCGGTGGATACACCTTTTCAATGGGTTGTTGGTCGGAAGATGTTGTGATTGAGATTTTTCTTTCTATGTTATCGATCTAAGATGTGATGGGTTATTATCATGAATAGATTTGATTTGGCCCAAGAGCCACAACCCGTTATATCTTTATCGTAAATAGATGTCCTTTTCTCGAGATGTAGACACACGCACTTGCGTGGGAAAGAGATCAATTCGCAATCAAAACCAACCAGACACATGCTCAATTCTGCTATGAAATCCCGATCTCTCGTCCTCTTCAAGACTCCCAAGAGAAATCAAATGTGGTGCCATAACATCCATCCTATTGCCACAGGAATTGATTTAACCTTGATGAAAAAAATCCTGAAAGAAGTGTTCCGTCCCCGTTCAATTCAGCTCAGCTCAAGCATCATCATGATTCACGACTAACAGCCCACGCTTCACAATACATCATTCCCAACCGCTCATCCTTTCCAATCTCCTCCCCAAAGTCCAGAGCAACAGATTCGCACTTTAGACTTTTGGGCATTCATCCATCCATCAAGTATTTCTCGTAGCTTGTAAAAAATTCCTGGTGTCTGACCACACCACAAGTATACACCTAAACAATCAACAACCCCCCCCCCCCCTCAAGATTAACCTTTATTGAAAAGTAAAAATCACCCATTTTACCTACTTAGGTAGCAGCCGGCACGGAAACTATCCTAGTTGCCAGTCTCGAGCCGGTGTCAGCTAGATACTAAGACTAGTAGGTTAGGCTGAGCCTACGAAGTATAGCCTGGAACCCCCATTCGAAGGCTGGTAATAATATGCGTATTATAAATAATGTATTCCCTTTTTGGAAAATAAATAAATAAGGAAATCAAAAAGATAAACAGGATCTGAATTACTAGTAACAATCCACTTAAAAAGATTCAGAAAAGACAGAAAAAATAAAGATGATGAAAAAAAGAATTACACATCCAAGCCAATTCAGATCCTAAGAAGAAGTTTCTCCCTCTCCATTTCCCATTGATCCAACCTCCTCTGTCCCCTCTGTCTTCCCCGGAACCTCCTCCCCCAAGAAGTCTCAATCGTGTGAAGATGTATCACAAACTCATCACAAACACGGGATTCCCGATACATACTTACTTCGGTACGCTACTTCGGTACCCAAGACCCAAGAGAAAATCCTCGCAGCCACCAACCAACCAGCCAACTCATCAATTCCATCTCAATCAATTCCCAACCTCCCAGCCCTCACCATCTCAAACCATGAATATCACAGAATAAAGAACGTGAATCAAGAATCAAGAGCCAAAAACCAAGAATCAAAACCAAAAACGACTCATCATCTAAACGCCTCAAACAACATCATCATCATCTATCCTATCTTCCTCATTCCCCGGCGCCGGTAAGGAAGTACAGCCAGTAAAGTAAGCTTACCCTTACCACCACCTGTTACAACTTTCCCACTTCCCAATCCCAATCCCAATCCCAACGGCAATTTCCTCTTTTCCTGTCGGTACTTACTATTACTTACTTGCTTCATTGCCGTTTTCCATACAGTAGCTCTCTATCGACTCCACTATCTATCTATCGTAAATGATTAATCAATTTTCATATATCCATACATACCCAAGCCAAGGACCAGCCGGACCCCCATCCAATCCATGACCATGACCATGACCATGACCATGCCCATGCCCATCCATGATTTCATACGTTTCAATTTCATACCTCTCGAACGTTTGATATTCATCCGATGCTCGTATCATCCTAGTATGATTATCTCTCCCCCTCCCTAGTGCCTACTTGCATACTACCAACCATCTAACTAAATTCTAACCATCCCTCCCCTCCTCCGAGACTCATCTCGCGTTCATTTCGAAACCCTCGGAAAGATTCTAGAACAAGGACTAGGATTTCCTAGCATGTATATCTACCCAATTGAATAAACCGATCCCTGTCTCTCCCCTCTTTATTTACAAAGTTCATTCATTGAATTGCTTGATTTAACAATTCCCAAGTTTTCCAGTCCTGAGCACTTGCTCTAGCCTTCAAGTCTGTAGTGTGTAATAATCCCAGTCCCAGTCCCAGTAGACCTCCCGTTTAGTACAGAGTAGCTCGAGAGTAGGTATCTAAACGTTGTTAAGCCAACAAAATCAACAAAACATACGAGACGAGACGAGACGAATGAATGATAGGCAAAATTGGATCATCAAGTTGAGTCTTGGATGGATGGAGAGATCCACTTGGGATCCGGAGATCAATGCCGCGTCTATACGATGTATGTGTATGTGTTTGTGTATGCGTATGTAACCAGCAATATGGAAGTAAATATCTGGATAGTTAGTTGACTTGTAATATCGCAGTACATCATGGTAAATCATATTCATATTCATATCGCGTAGACAGAAAAGGAGGTGGTTGGGGGGTTTATTGCGTGGAATGATCCGGCCGTTGGGGTTTATGATGTATCGAGGAAGGGGTGCGGGAGGGATTGTGTATGAAGGGATTATGGAAGATGGCCCGCGGTGGATAGAAGCTAGGTTGCACGTATGCTCCTTACGATAGATATACTACGATATGATATGATATAATGGAGTGGAAGATTTTGGAAGCGATAGGTCTTGTATTACTTAGATATCTACAGAATAATGTATAGTAACAGATACTTAGGTATGAAGATACGTCCTACATTTACAGGCCATATGTACTCCGTATAGTACGTATTTAAGGGTCCAAAGCAATCAGGATTTTTTTTTTAAATTCAGGGTCTAGAGTTTAAAGTTTAGAGTCTAAGTGAGAAATATATACTTTATGAATCTATGCTACTTTACAATACTACACTACACTACACTCTACTATACTATATGATACTATATCCATACCATAAATTTCAAAAACAAGCCAAAAGATGCACCACACCAAACTACCTATACCAAGTTACCAACCCCCCAAAAGTATCATAACTGTATGGAAATCAGAGACTGGGGCTAGAATCAGAATCAGAATCAGACTGTATACTCTATACATCTAGACATCTACACTCCCAAGCCAGAACGGGAACCAGACGGGAACCACAACCAGAACACACACACACCATTATGCCCCAAGAAAATCACAAACACAATCACACCTGCAGTAGCCTCACTCCCACCTCCCACCTCCCGAGCTCCCATATTTTGGGTCCCAAAATATGTATGTAAATCTTACATATATATCCATCCATCTCTCAACGACCCTGAAGATCTCTACAAATTCCAAATTCCAAATTCCAAATCCCCAATTCCACATTTCCCATGCATAATCCATCCTAGAACCTATTCTATTTCGTCTTGTGTCTATACTCCGTCTGTAACCCATCCTTTCTCGACTTGATGCTCTAGACCCGGAAACTTATCCTATAGCTACCCCTATAGCTATATCCCACACTTTATACCCTATCCCGATAATACATACCCATAGCTACATCCATACCATACCCAATCTCAAGCCAATGCAAGAAACAAGAAACAGAAAACCCAATCCCTTCCCTTCCCTTCCCTTACCATGCTATGCTATGCTATGCTATGCGTCGCCTCACTCACTCGCTCCACTTTGGCGATCATATCATACTATATCTATACTATACTACACCATACTATAAGCCTAAACCACACCACGTCACGCTATACCACACTATTCTATGCTACAAGACTATACTATACTACTCATGATTTCACCCCAATACTAATACGACGAGTCAAGTCATCATCTAGTTTGTCATCTAATTCACCATCCAGACTCCAAATCTCAGTCCATCCATCCTCATCCATAGATAGACCCATAGTCTCTAGAGTGAAACCGAAGAGCCTGGTTTCACACATACACATACGACATCACATCAATCACATCACGTCACTGATTCACTCACAGACAATAGATGAAATAACACAATTCACGCGCAAGCAAACGAGATATGAACAACTCAATAGATTCAGATGAAAGGAAAAAAGAAGGCGACGCTCTCGCGCCCAATTTTTAGTTTCCACACAGGACACACTACCCTGATTCCTTCCCTCTTGCTCATCAACCCATTGAACCCCCTCCCTTCCTCTAAACATTCGCCACTAATCTAAATACAAGATCCCCAGCCTCCTCCCCAACGATCCTGAAAATCTCTTCCCCATCCATCCACCTTCCAACATACCTCACCCATATCTACCTACCCCTAAACTCTCTGCCATTTCCTCCCTCTTCCATGACAATGACATACTGCCCAGCAGTCTCAATCGAGGTTCCTTCCAACCTCACTAGCCAACACAGCATAAGAGCGATGACGTCCTTCGTTTCCAAGTCCTCCATCCATGCATGAAAGCACAGCCAATTCCTCCAGGGCCTTCCTTCCTAACATGCAGGAACGAGGATCTTCCCCAGAAAATCCCTTCCTGCAGCAAATCTCTAAATGTTCCGTCCCAGGATAGCCCTAACCAGATATGTACGACAAAAGAAAGACAAAAGGAATAAGGAAACTGTTATAATTAAGTAGATGTACCATCCCCGCCACAAATATGCATACCCTTGGAAACCCCTTCCTCTGCCCGTCCCGCCAGAGCCGCAAATCCCAAATCCCGTTCCCCATATCCCGTGCCCGTATTTTTTTTGGTGAAGCTGTCTTTAGAACATGTGAGTGGTACAGTAATGTGCGACCAATGTAGAATAAACAGATTCACTTCCCCCAATTAACTGCCGCCACGTGGCTCGCCTGAAAATCAACAATGACCCT